ATTTGTTAGCAGCTCTTTGTGCTTTTTCAGCCAGATCGCTTGTCCACTTTCTTTGAGCTGTACGTGCACGGTGTTTTTTTACATCTCTTGCTTTGTTATTGTATTCTCTTTGTAATTCTTCTATCTTATTCCTTGTCTTACATATTAACAGTGTTTTTATGTCCCTTCTCTCCTCAGTCTTCTTCCAAGTTTCTTTAGTCAACCGCTCTTTCCTTAGGGATTCCTGAATCCAAGTATTTCTTCTGCAGTTTCTGTGTATGTAGCTTTGGGTTTCGACCACTGTTCTATTTCACATCCATCCATCTCTTCTAATTCCTGGAATTCGCTGTGGAGTTTTAATTGGAATGCTTCTATTATTTGCTTATCCTTAAGTCTTCTCACATTGTATCTTTTGGATGTCTAGCTGAATCTATCTGTTACTTTCTTCAATTTGATCCTCAGATTGGAGATCATTCAATAATGGTCACTATTTATGTGTGCTCCTCTTTTTTCCTTACGTCCATCAAGGTTGTCCTCCATTTTCTGTTTATTGTGATGTGGTAAATTTGGTTTTGTGTCCTTTTATCTGGTGATATCCAAGAAATTGTATGTATCTTTTTCACTTGTATTACATCAGAGTAGAAGTTAAGGCAGCATGTTGTGGGTTGCTACCTACCAGACTAAATGTTGTCATAACCCAGAAGACCACATCAGACATAGTCAAAGTTGCATTATTGTAGATACTGCTTTAATTTTTCATTGCTTCAGCAGATAGAAGTAAATTGATCACAAAGAAGCTAGAATTCATATTTACAAAATTTGTTAAAATGTATTCCATTGTTTAATTTTTAAAGTGAGAATAAATATGTACTATAATAAAATTTATTTATTTTTGGAAGTCTACTTTTATGAACACATAAAATCAAAATCCCCATTTGTACCTGATGCATCAGAAGCTTGGAAGTCTTTAGGAATTTTATGTGTTAATATTCATGATTGCAATTTAACATTGTACAACAAAATTTTATATTGACACTGAACAAAGCACTCCTATACCATAAAAGGAGAAAATATTGTAATGTAGCTTACTCAAATCTTGGGGTGCCATTTTCCACTTATGTATAATTAAGATAAATGCTTATTCAACATTTTTTATTACCTTCACTATTTCATAGAATCAGTGTGGCAATTTCATATAGCTTATGAACAGAAACATAATTTCAATCTTACTTTGGAGTACTAACTAGTTATAAGAATGGCACAACTTTACTTTGTTAACTTCCTTTGTTAATAACTACACTGTATGCAGAAACATAAGAATACATACTCTGAAACCCCACCTCACAAGTCTTTTACTCTTCTCCACACAAGCAGCATGATTTCTTGAGAAACTTATCATAAATCCTGTATAGCTATCATTAATCACTGTGCATTCTGTTTATCCAAGTGTTACATAGAGAGAATTTCATAATGATCTTCCAGGTTTCAAAAGCTTATTGAGACAAGACTAATAAAGATATGAAGAAAAGTAAGTTACATATGGAAAGGAAAGCACAAAAGGTTTGATGTACACAGGAATTGTAGTCTTCTTCCACCTGTGACACTGATAGCTGGGTTTTGAAAATGATGTCACAACCTCAGAAGAATTTTTGTGGCCTCACATTTCACACAATCTGTGCACAAAAGTTTGATATAAATTCCCTATAAAATACAGGAAAGAAATATCAAACCTGTATTCAGGACATGCATATTATTGTATCATTACTTAGTCAGTGATTGCATCGAAAGGAAGAAAAGCACAGGCTGACATGTTAGTAAAGTACAATACAGCAAGTATTCAAATCTTGCATTTTCAATCTGCAGCAACTGATATGGGACAAAAATACCATAAACAGCAGTGTGGGGAATTCTGTGAAGACTCCAAATGTGTTCCTTGCAAATTGCAACTTAGGAAGCACATCAAGGGGAACAGCTGCATCAGAATAAATTCTCTTGTCACATAATGAATTTCTGTCCTCATGATGTGTCTGTCAAAGTGTGTGTTTGAAGTGAAGCAGTTTTATGTTTCTATAAAGTTTAATCAACATAACATTCATTAATGAGATTACATCAGTTTGCAAACTCACACTGAACACATAAACAGGGCTAAAGTAAGTCTATTTCTTGCTGTAACCATTAGCACTACATGGCTCATTCTCCTTCATGGAGTGGACAGTAACTAGTTATTATAAACATGATAGGTTAAAGCTGTGACAAGTATTTGCCCAAGTTTGACTCAGAAATTTGTTCACAAGAATACTATAATCTGTGAGTCAGACAAAGGAAATTTAATTTCAACAACAGATTCTTTTTATTATAAACTGTGAGAAACAATTTACAGAAACATAAATAGTCATAACTAATTAACCACTTCCATAAAGTACAGTAAAGTGAGAAGTTAATAGTTGCTTACAAGACTTCTGAAAATTCAGCATGATTATGAATATTTCCTTTGCAAGTTCAGAAGAAATTACAGCCCACAAAGAGAATTCCTACTGCATGAAAGTGTGGTCCCATGGAGAGGCCACCTAAAGTTCAGAACATATAATCCCACGAAAATTACAAGTGTGAAATGTCATTGAGAATTGTATGGGAAGATTATCTAGATATATGTGCAACATGTAGATAAATGAAGCTGAGGGGAGACATTTGGAAGACACAGTTATATCAAGTGAATGCTATTTCTTAATGTGTCAGTCAACATGACAATTCTATAATAAACAAATCAGTAGTACTGTATTAGGGGGCACGCAGTAGCATAGTTAGTTGAGGCACTATGCTACAAGACAGAAGGTTGCAGGTTCAAGTCCTGGTGGGTTTTTTTTTTCAAGTTACCTAATCCTTTCAGCCGCAATAGGTCCTGGGGTCAACTCAGCCTCTAAGAGAAATGAGTAACAGGAATCTTCCTGGGGGTAAAGGGTGGCTGGTGTGTAAGGCTGACAACCTTACTGCCATATGTGAGCCGGTGTAGACAAAATGTGGGAGCCTCAACATCTCACAACTCTTAAGGGCCTTCACACCCTGTTACAGGGATAGCTTTACCTTTTACCTTATACTATTGTATTAGCATTCATCTGTGGAAGTATTGCTACATGTTTTGACCCTTCTGGGTCATCATCGGGCAGCTGTTACATCAATCTGTCACTTGTTTTCAGATCTGTGCAAGTTTTATCAGTTTCTATTGCATTTTTGCTGTTATCTACCTTCAACAAAGCCTGGTCTCAGGTATTTATAGAGCTATACTGACATCTGTCCTCCAGTGATTGTGGTTAACCTTTTCAAAGGGACCCAACGGATTGGGCGTCTCTCCCTTCATCTGAGGCTGGCAACAGATGCAGTTTCTGAAACATCCTCTTGTTTTTAGAATACTGGACAGTAGACAAAGTCCAAAAACCAGTCATGCTAACAGTCCTATCAGTTTTCCAAAATAATATGGGTCAAAATCACATTTATAGGAACAAATTTTATAACAGAATAGAACTGTGTGACAATAGACAAACTCTGTGGCCTGTAGTCCGCAAGCGAACTATACCGACCCAGCGACCGCTACCTGTCAGCAAGTTAGTGTCAGCTTTAGTGCATAGAGGGTGTCACGTGGTCAGCGCAATGGATCCCCATGGCCATCAATCTCAGTTTTCTAGACTGGAGCTGCTATTTCCTTGAAATAGCTCCTCAGTTATCATCACAAGGCTGAGTGGAACCTGTTCCAGACCCACTACTTCACAGAAAATCTTGTAACGCCGGGAATCGAAACCGGGACTCTGGATCTGCAGTCAGGAACTCTGACCACTATTTCACAGAATTGTGTGACACTTTTTGCAAAGAAAAATATTCTATGGTATCATGAGGACTAACAGGAATTCCATACACTCTTGCAAGGGAAGTCAAAACTATGAAAGGGCAATATTTTTAACAGAATTGGCAATATTTGGAAAGTCAAGGAGGTGGTGCACATGATTAGTGCAATTCAGGAGCCAAAACTGAACATGAGGTAATGAGGAAGCTGGTTGTACTGTGGAATACAATAAATATGTAATAGAGCTGGAGAGGGATACCAGTACCTAAGTTATTACTGTTCTTAGAAAAACAATCACGTGGTCCTGTGAAGCTCACCATATATTCTGAACTGCGCTCTCTTCAATGCATATTTCAAGTAGACTTTAAACCAAAAGCATAATGCAGTATCCAGAAACTAATGCCTGGAGTCTGGAGGATGTGGATCACTAACGAGCAAAATGCACCCAAGTCCTGTTCAGATGATGTGACATCCAGTGAAGGAACCAGTGCTGTGGAGGTCTGAACAGGAACCTCCACATAGCCTGTCATGGGACTTCAACAAACACAGCCTGTGAATGAGCTCTTGAGGTGGATCAAGAAAAGAAGTATCCAGCAAGGTAGTGTAGGATTTGTTTTGCACACAAAAGCATCATGAGATAAGATACATTTTCAAATTCTGCTGTTTCACTGCATAAATCTTCTTGCTTTGACAGATTCCGTTCCATGAAAGACTCTTAAACTACATGCAGCTCTCCATAACTCAGCTCCAAAGCATCATGTGGAATTTCAAAATGTAAGTAAAGTTGCTCCCTGCCTCAGAGATTTAAATGTATGTGAAGTCCAGGAACTGGGGTTTTTAATTAAAAGGATGCACCAGTCCAAATCATGTTATGATAGGATGGACATGTAGCTCATATAAGGAATACAAGAAATAATACATAATTTTAGTAAATTATTGTATGGGATTTGGAAAATGAGGGAGATCACAAGAGATTTTGATTGATCTTAGGGATATGACCTGCAAAGCTGTGAACTGGTTGAACACTTCCAGTGGCATACTTTCATATTGGCAATGTTGAATCTTCCTGTTTTCTTGGTACCACATTCAGAGATAGTTTAGCTCTGAATGAGGTCAGAAGATTATGGAAAATGAGCAAAGGAAAATAGGGGGGGAGTGTAATTTTAAATAATTAATTCACAGAGAATTATGATATAACAATGCAAAACATTTTTATTCCCATGAATCTCACTGCATGGTGGATATACAAATGTACAGTAGGAACCTAGGGTATATATTGTGCTCAATTATGAACTACATTAAGATGCTTGCTGTTGCGTATCAAGCATTAGTTTTCCAAGGTCTCCATTTCGAAATGCCTTGATGAAGTGGTAGGCTGCAGCTGGTAAATCTGGTATCTCCACATAACCATTACCTGTATATATACACAAGGAAAAACTTTTAATTACATTTCTGAATTAAAACTGAAATGCAGCTGCTTGGTGCAAACAGACCACAGCTTTTCAGATACTTAAACTTAAATTCTAGACGAACGCAAGTTCAAAGTAGCACAGTCTTAAAATTTGCGCTCTCTGAGAATCTTCAATGTATAGGTATTCCATTTGTATGTGAGTTTGACAAATGTGATCAACTAATTTGGACCGATTTCAATTAACAGCATTTAATGCAAACTGCTTGCTGGCCAACTGACAGTGCCACAAAGAAGTTGGAGTACTGTGTGGGAGCAGGGGACTTTTGTGCCAGCCTCTTAATCTTTGCTGCATATCTACGGCTCCTTGAGCAGCTAAAGATGGGTAATAATTTTGAAATAAGTCACAGACAGCAGATCTGCTAAATATATCTGGTAAATTTTACTATCCACTTCAGTGGCCATAAATTTCTCAGTTTCTTCAACCACTTCAATCCCCTTCTCTGCCGCTGTGATCACCTGTTTCATCTTCAGTTTCAACTGTCTCCCCATACATCTCAATGGCTCATCCACCAGATCACCTATCCAATGTTGTATTAAATGTGATGAGATGTCAGGCATATCATAGACGTGATGAGGAGGCTAACCTGGACCGGGGAATCAAGTAAGAGCCGGCAGAGGGAGCCACAGGCATCATCACCCTTGTTCCCTCATTTCACACTCAATGTACTCATCAAGCAGAATAACAGCCCACTCACTGATGCATGGACTGGGAACAAGCCATGCCATATGACCATCAACACCAGGATATCTGTAGCCAACATCATCGTTGACTTGACAGGGTTTCCCGTGAGGAACCCAAGTCAGCCACACATTCTACTGACAGCAACCAGGGAAACACTCCGTCTTGAAGGAGACACAGGAGCAGCTACCTCAGGGGTGGAGTGAATTACAAATTTTGGTGTTCAAGGACCACAAATTGATTCAACCTGGGGCAGAGTGTCCTGCAAGCCTACAACACGATGTGAATTTTAAGTATTATGTACTATGACTGGGCGAATAAAAGTTGTCATGGCATCCCAACCAAGATCATCCTGCCTCATGCTGGCTTGATTTGAGGGGAAGGTGCAGATTGAGGCAGCTAACAGCCTAATGGAACCCATTTTTTTCTTTTTCATATTCCTCAGCAAGGAGGACTATACATGGCCAGGATGTTGGTTGCAGGCACTGCTATGGGCCACTGTGAACCAGCTGTGGACAGTGATGAACACATATCCAACTGCGCTGGATTTCAGGATAGGGACGAAGTCTGGTTGTACTGTCTGACCCATATCAGAGAAGTCATCTAAGCTGCAGCTAGGCCAGGATGGTTCTTACAATGTGATGATAACCCACATCAACAATGCAGTCTAAGCATCTAGTATGATCCGAGAGACATAATAGTGGTGCAACTCTCTGACAGACTGGTGCCATTATCTAAGGATTACTCAGGTCGAGCAGCACTGAGAAGGGAGCTAATATGCACTCCTTGTATGGAATAAATGTCCTCCCCACCTTCTAGACTATTCGAGAGCCAACCAGCTACACTAGCGACTGAAGGAGCCAGAGCACATGTGAGACACATCCTTAAGGACTACGAAATTCTCGACAAGACAGTATAAGCTGAGAAGCAGCATAGTGCAGGTGTGTATGTAGACAGGAAGACAGCACAGAACTGACACCAGCACTGTAAATGGTAAGATCATGAGTGGGAGAATAACTGTTCCAAATACCAGTTACAATAAAATAGGTAAGAAATAAGCCATGTATGAATATAGAGAGGTTTATTCCTTTGTTTGCAGCCTTATTACTGCCTTATGTAGGCTCTGAGGTTCTCAAAGCAGTGGTTGTGAAGAGTTCCATCTTATGAGATATAACAGCACGTGATACACTGAAAGTCAACCAGTGTTACGGAGGAACATGTCACTTCCATCTTCAGCGTTGAAGAGGAAGCCAAGCAAGAAATCAACATTAAGCCTGCATCAGTGTGAAATGTGTTTGGATGTAGGAAGACACTGATTCCAGTAGGTATTGTAACACAGGGAGGGTAGATTATCCTTAGACTGGCCAGCCAGAAATTTGTTCTTCCACTGCTGGCTGGTGAAACGATGCTTAGTTGTACTTGAGACGTGCACAAGTACAGTTACAAATGCTGTGTTCAGAAAAGAAGCACGAAGTCTTGTAGGAAGAATCCTAACAGTATAGTGAAATGTAGAGCAGTGATTTACAATATCATAACAAAATTATGTTGTATGGGATCAGTGTTGGATAAACAGAAATTTCAAGAAAGGCATGTACTGACTGAAGAAAAACTTGATGATACTGATGCTCGATTATAAACCCAAAGAAATCATTATATCTCTTGGCTCTCCAGTGTGGACTGGCAAAAAATAAAACTCACATGGAGAATAAATGTGCCTGGTAGTTGGGTGAGGCATTATGCTACAAGCTGGAAGGCCGTGGGTTTGATTCCCGATGATGCCATTGGATTTTTCAATTGACCTGGTCCTTCCAGCCACACCATGGTCCTGGGATTGACTCAGCCTCTCCTGGGCATAAAGAACAGCTAGCGTATAAAGCTTACAATCTCACCACCACCTGTGAGTCGAATGTCTGGAATAATTTGGAAGCCTTGACATCTCACAACACTATGGGCCTCCATGGTCTCTTACAGGGATAGCTTTACCTCTTTTACCTTTACCTTAATGTCACAGCGCACACTGCAAAAAATTCTACTGATGCATTAGAATAAGTCTTCAGTGAATGAGTCAAAAATTGAGGACTGTAGCCTCAATGATCACCTGATTTAAATAATTCTATGTCTAAAAATATGTTCTAACAATATGAGGCATGCTTAGAAGCAGAGGGTCACCACTTTAGGACTCTTCTATAATATAATTTAAGCAAAACTGCAGCAGGAAAACAGACTATGCATTATCAGATACTGTGGTGGGTCTATGCAAGAAGAGTGCCATGTGAGCCGTGGCACCCAGTCTAAGGATAATCTGCCCTCCTTTTATAAGGTGAGTAAAGGGCCATTACTGAAAATATTTACTGAGCACTGACAGAACTACCTATCGGATCCATGTGGCAGCATGTATAAGTCTTAACAGAATGAAGGTGTCCACTAGACAGTCTGCTGTTCTAATAACTGAGAGAAATAAGGTTGTAAACAAAGGAATGAACACCTCTGTATATTTCAATACAAACTCTTACCACTAATATCACGTTTTCGCTGTGTCTTTCCTAGCTTTAAAGCAACTTTGATGAGAAGCGTTCCAATACTGTCTGTTGGTTCTTCCAAACCCATGACATCTACATACCTGTAACAAGTAAGCTCCACAGTAATGCATTCAGAATACTGTGGGGTGAGCTCAGTACTGGCAACATATCCAGTTAAATCAGAAATTAATGGAAGTATACATATATTCATGACTCATCATCAGAACACAGAACAAAATCACAGTACAGTGGCTTTCAGGTCATAAAATTGTAACATTTCAGAAATTACTGACCGCAAATTTGTCCCTACAGAAATCTGAGATATATATTAGCTCTTTTAAACACAAAATACAGACTAACAAACTCAACCAAAATGACTCATTAAGAAAAATTATTTATCTCTTTGAGAACTTCCAACTGCATATATGCATGTGTTGGTGATGTACAACAGGACCTGCAGCTTGCTACAGGCTAGTATTTGCACGTGTCTGGCGTACGTGCATGGCTAGTAGCATGGTAAACTCTGATCTCTGGTTGCTATTCTTATTGTCTTTTGTATTGTTCAGTATACTTATGTAAGACATCTGAATACAGGTCACTAAGTTCAGTTGCAAGTAATACAATTGTGGACTAAAACAATTTTTGCAGGGGCACATCTCCATTTATATTATGGGAGTCAATGGAAAATAGAGTCCCTGTTATGGAATTTTGCAATAGACACATTTTCAAGAGCACATCCCTTCCATAATGTGGTAAGAGCTGTATATAGAAACTCCGTGGCCTTTAGTCCGCAAGTGAACTATACCGACAGACCACCACTTGTCGGCGAAGTTGGTGTCAAATTTTGCGGATAGAGGGTGTCACATGGTAAGTGCAACGGATTCCCATGGCCGTTCATCTCTGTTTTATAGACCGGAGCCGCTACTTCTCTGTTCAAGTAGCTCCTCATTTTATCCTCACGAAGCTGAGTGGACACTGTTCCAGACCCACTACTTCACAGAAAATCTGGTAGCGCCAGGAATCGAAACCAGGACCTCTGGATCTGTAGGTGGGAATTATGACCACAGAGGCGGCCATATAATAGTAACAAAGTAAAACTGAAATCATGAAAAAATTAAAAGAATATTAAATTCAGTAACGCTCACTATTCCATTCAGATACCAGCTTCCTGGCAAGGCAGCCCACGTTCTGCCTGAGACCAAGTCAAGTGAGATTCATGGACAAAGTGGCACTAGGGCTGGATATCTCTGAGTAGTTAAGTTTAGGTTTGGGATTCTCATTCCACCAACTGATCCACACTCGCTAATCGTCCTATCATTTGGCACTCTATAATCTCAACGCTGACACCGTTGCTAAATAACTTAAAAATGTGCTGTTCAGAAGTTCTGTTTTCCCATTTGTTATCTAACACAAGGGAGCTGGGATGGCATAGTTGGTAAAGCGACTGGCCGCAGGCTGGACAACTGAGGAGTCAGAGATCAAGTCCCAGTGGGGTTAAGAATTTTCTCTCCTCCACATCATCCAGACTGTTTCTGGGGCCCACCCAGCTTCCTATCCACTGGGTACCGGGGGCTCTTTCCCTGGGGGTAAAGCGGCCGAGGAGTGAAGCTCACCACTCACCTCCAAATAATGCTGAGGTCAAAAAAATGTGGATCTATACATCCACTCCCTCATACACCTTCATGGGAAAATAGACTGGGGAAGTTTGAGAATGAGGTAGTGAGGTGAATACTTGGAGCTAAGCAGAAGGAAATAAGAGGGAGCTCAAGAAAATTGCAGGAGTTTTATAATTTGTTCTCTCACCAAATATAATTATGAGTGAAAGGGTGTTGAAATAACCACAGCAAGCAGTATCACTAGGGGGATGGGAGATGCACAGAAAATTTTGGTCACAAGAATCAGTGCACTCCAAATATATTCATTTTAATACCGATGAATAACTGACTCCATGGAGATGAGGCCTTCTTGAGAAACCAACAGTTGTGCAGCTACTCAAGAATTTCCCAACATTTTATGGAACCTGAAGGTTCATTGCCATGTTCATGAGAACCCTCCACTGGTCCCCATCCTGAGCCAGATCAATCCAGTACATACCATCCCATCCTATGTCTCTAACATCCATTTTAATATTATCCACCCACCTATGTCTTGGTCTTCCTAGTGGTCTCTTTCTTTCTGGCTTTCCCACCAACATCCCATATGCATTCCTTTTCTCCCCTGTTCATGCTACATGCCTGCCCATCTCATCCTCTTAGATTTGATCATTCTAAAATACTGACAAATACCAAATACATTTCAGGATATAAAAATATCACCATCAATCTCACATATAAGATCATAGTAGATATATAAGGGACTGATCTTAAGAAGGTGGACTGTGATGAACTCGACTGCAATGGGATTCATGTGAAAATAAGGCCAATTTCTGTTGAGATAAACATTTGAACACGTAATATATTAATAAAAATTATTTTACCTGACCATGATGTGTATGTATTGATGGTCTTCTAGTGCACACAATCTCACTTGTCACTTCACTACATGTTTCGGCATCACTGTGCCATCCTCAGGTGTGTGTTATTTACGTTGAACTATTGCACAACGCACGCAGCCACAAGAGAAGGACACGTCACAAGACGCAGTATACACAAAATATAGGAAGAATGACTTCCATAGCGGAAGACTGATATAATACGCGAGTTTGAAATACGACGTATAAGATGATAAATCTTAACAAGTTTTAATATATAAATTTTATTATAGCACATGATGAATATACATTTTAAATCATTTTATAGATGACACATGATGGCGAGCAGTGCAATAGTTTAACGTAAATAACACACACCTGAGGATGGCACAGTGATGCCGAAACGTGTAGTGAAGTGACAAGTGAGATTGTGTGCATTAGACGACGGTCAATACATACACATCATGGATGCAAATCAGTGCAACAGGATGTTAAAATACAACATTATTTTACCTGAATTGATTGTTTTTATTCAACCAGTACAAAAGGTAATCTGCAATGGTTTCAATGCCAACCAAATGATCCTGGAGACAAGCTGTAAGTTAGACAAATTTAGTTAGCCATTTTAAGAACAAATGAATCTCATGATTGAAATACCAATGCACAGGGACATCAACACAAATTTCATTTATGAATACATCAAGAGACTTAGCTAATTGAAACAATGTGCCTTACACAATGCTTCAGCAATTTAACCAACAGGTCATGTAATTAAATGCTGACAGGTTGACTAAGGTCTTGAAGCAGGTTCAAGTCCCAGCAACAGCAGAAGTGTGGTTTTCATGGTTTACCCCCACTTTAGTACTTTGAAATAGGTCACATTCTTTCTAGTTTAATATTAGGCATGTGTGAGAGTGACATTTTTTCAATGGGATATGACTGTGGAAATATTTCACAAAACAAAATTAGAACAAGAATTTTCTCTCAGACTAATTAGCCAATCACATTGGTTGTGCAGTCTAAGGCATGAAATGTCTTCACCCACTCAAACACTGGGATCATGCATTATCTGAATATTCTTAAAGTCTGGGGCTTAAAAATCAGCATTCAAATCAAGACCAAGTTCCTTTCTCCCAATATAATCTAAAAAATCTGTGACTCACGTGTGCCTATTTAACACACATTTTCATCTCATTTTTCTTCGTGTTAAATTATATCTGTAATTAATCATTCTTCTTCAAGCACTTCAGCCAATCTTCTCTATTCACAGCAACATTCCTCGAATTCTTCACTCCCAGGGTCGTAATTTCCTGGATCAGTTTGGGCCTACCAATTTTCCTTGTCCCTTCAGGTATGGTATCAAACACATGCTTGACTATTCTACTATTTTCCATATGTCCAGCCCAGGTTATCTGCGTATTTTTATATATTTAGTAATATCTGGCTCATTAAATAGCTTATACAATTCATGGTTATATCTCTTCCTCCATGTACCCTTATCCTGCATTGTTCCAAGAAAGCATTTGAGAACTTTTGAGATAACTTAATGATCTTTCATCTACCTTGGATAGCTGCCAGGTCTCAGAGGCATATGTTAATATTGGCTGTAAACAACCAAACCACCTTAATTACTGATGTCTTTACATAATGCATGCTAGATCATAAAAGAAGCCCATCACAGTGGCCGCATGATCTAAGGTATGGACTGTCTTTGCTCACTCGAATGCTGGAATTGTGGATTTGAATCCCACTCAAGACATGAATGTCTGTGTGCGTTTATTCTGTGTTTGTGTTGTCCTGTGTGTAGGTAACGGCTTTACAATGGGCTGATCTCCCAACCAAGGAATCCTACTGACTGTGTATAGGATTAAGAAACTGAAAAAGAGGTCAAGGCCCAAAAAAGGTCTGTAGAGCAACAGAGAGATAGATATAGAGCCACAGACAGATAGATATATCATAAAAGAAACTGCCAGTATCCCTAAAAGTGTAAATGGCTTACCACATAAAGCTAACCGAAGTCCTGTCTCAATGTCTGGAACATTTGGGGTCAGAATGCCTGGTGTATCTAGCAAATAAACTAGAGGATTCTCAGACACTTTAATGCGGTTTTGAACACTCCGTGTTATGCCAGCAGTCGCACCAACTGGAGCTGCTTTTCCTGTAATATGGTACTCATACATTATCCCAGTACTAAAGAGCTCATTTGAAAACAGAACAAAAGTACTCGGACAATGAAGCAGTTCATATGCATAGGGATAACATCATGAAGTTCTACGGAGCCATGGAGGTAAAAGTTCACCTAGCAGGCTCTAAATATAGGAGACCAAAATTAAATTGTAAGATACAGCTTGTAACACTCATTAGCGACTGTAATTGTGAATTTTTCTGTAATTCTAATTTTGACTTGGATTGTTACCTCATGTGACAACTGGTGGCAAGAAATACACACCAGTATATTTGTTATACTAATATTTCTATAAAGGAATGTATTAATTACAGTACTTCTAATACTGCAGAAATTTCTAATTGACCAGAACAAATACAGCTTTCAAGAACCTCATACCAGGGAACTTGAAGTTTTTTAAAAACGGTTTATAACTTAAATCAAACCTCACATACCTCTACCGAGATGCTTGGTTCGAAGCACATTTATAAGGGATGATTTTCCTACATTAGGTACACCAATCACCATAACACAGAAATCCTTTTCTTCACTTCGATTATACCTTTCAGATGCAGAAACTAATCCAGCTACAGTAGGAATGATCTGGAAATATGGAAACCAGTAACCATGGGAACACAACACCTTAGAGAATGGCAGAGGGCAAAGATGGAAAAGTGGCTTGTTATACAAACGCGATGGAAGGGGGAAGAAACTGATAAGTTGAATATCTGGAGAGAGTAAGAGGAGTATTGAGAAAATTTATTGAGGACAATCATAATTTGAATTCTTCACTAAATATCTGAGGTCAGGAGAATTTGAGACAATATTTAAGCAGGGGAAGTAGCTCTTATAGTCCTGAAAGTACATAACATAACGATCAATACAGCACTCTTTTCCTGTACATAAAAATGAAAGTGCCTACACGTGCGTCACATTTGGCTCAAAGTCAAAAAGTATTTGATTCAGATTTTGACCAGTGCCTCACATTCTCAATGCAGCTTTTCCTAAGGCTTGAAAGCTTGAAATTATGTAGTGCTGAATAAGAAACATTAGGATCATTACACATGGTGAGGAATGACAAGAACATAGAACTATTCTAGTGAAGAAAGTAGTCTTCTGGGATGTGGCACCGTGAAGATGTGGTGTTAACCGACGTTTTGGAGGAACATCTCACCAAGTCATGGAAGCCTCTCATCCGTTCTCTAAAACCGCCCCCCCNCCCCCAGAACATGACACCAGATCCACAAGGCTACACAGGCCATGACAGACTCACATAGCAACCCCCAAGCTTAAGGGTTAATGCCCTTCCATTAACTTTGCCTTTCTCTACCCCGACACAATATCCTATACAAACACTGCTTTACCCTCTCCACTGATTTCCCATGTAGATTTGTTCCCCCCCCTCCCGTTCCTGCTCTCACATAGCTGAGTTTCTTTCCAACATCAGTCCAGTGTGCTTGCACCAGTTCTCACTGTCTCATCGCTTGTGGATTTTCTTATTTTTCCTTCTACCCTGAAGATGGAGGCGATATGTTCCTCCGAAACGTCGGTTAACACCACATCTATATGGTGCCACATCCCAGAAGACTGCTTTCTTCATAGTCACAGCTGTGAAAACCTCAATACAACTATTCTAGTATTTATTTGGAATAACTGATAAATATTAATCGTAGTGGTCCTGAAAATTACCATAACTCAGACTACATATACCAGACAACAATTAGACATAATACTGTTGCTGAATTGGGGCACGCGGTAGCGTAGTTGGTTGAGGAGCTATGCTATAAGCCAGAAGGTTGCGGGTTCAAGTCCCAATGAGGTCAATGGATTTTTTTCAATTGACCTAATCCTTCCAGCTGCACCATGACCCTGGGGTCAACTCAGCCTCTAACAGAAATGAGTACCAGAATTAAATAATTTTCCTGGGGAGTAAAGCGCGGCTGGCGCGTAAGGCTGACAACCTTACCGCCATCTTTGAGCCGGTTGTCTAGATAATGTGGGACCCTCAACATCTCTCAGCCCTTCATGGCCTGGTACAGGGATACCTTTACTTTTACTTTTACTGTTGTTGAGTTATGAAATTAAATTTAGCAGTAGACAATATATATTTTGACATCTAAAATACTTTATCCATATACCGACCTGCTTTACACCTGGACATTTATTGTCTTTACAGTTAGTAAAGATTATGTGATGATAGCCATATTTCCTTAAAATGTCTTCCATTTCAGATCTCATCTGCAAGTCTGCAAGATCTTTCTTATTTAGAACCAATATATGTGGTTTCACTCCACTCACAGTGTAGCGGAAATTAGGATTACGTCCAGACAAAGGTATCTGTCATCAATTAAGAAAAATTACATATTGTAGCATGTAGTGCCACTGTTATGCAACAATCGCGAGAAGAACAAACGTTGCTATCTGGGCTATCACTATGCAAATGCCATAACAATAGAAAAAATGTTGGAGGCGATGTTTTCTGTTGGGTCTACCCTGAGGCTATATACCGAGGGCCCCAGGCTAGCTGAGTGAGTTCAGTTAAGTGCAGTGATGTGAAGTATCTGGTTAGTGAGTGAGAGAGTTCAGTTGTCAGTCAAAAGTCAGTCTGCAGAGAGAAGACTAGGAGGTTGGTGTGAAATGGCTGCCAGCCTGGGACCCAGTTAGTTGAGGGTTGACAGTTGAGTCATGCTCTGTGAGGGAAGCTGAGAAGAGGTGGCGCTATAGTTGAGTTGATAGTTGGCAAGAGTTCAGTTGCAGCATATTTTCCAGACAGTAACAATGTGAGTGCCAGAAGCTGAAGAATCTCCACTGTTAGAAGCTGTTGCTAGAGAACAGCTGTTGAACACAGTAGGCTGGAAAAAGGCTTAGTGGGTGCTGCAGCAAGTTATAAAGTGTGCAGATTAGTAATAGCACTGTAATTATTGCAGTTCCAGATGGTGCGTACAAGTGGTCAATAAATCCAATTCACCAATCCAACCTCCATCTATAGTCACACACCCCTAAGTTGTGACAATACTTAAATTATCAGATAAGTTTTTGATTTATTAATATCAATTTCCTTTAAATATTTACAGAAGATGGAATTAAGGAGCCCTTTTCCTAAATACATATTTGACGGTATTCTAATGCTCTGTTTTACCATCAAGGTCAAAGACTACAGTGCACCCCATTTTAATATTTTGACAAGATTACCTGTACATATTAATTTCACCAATCTTTCCACAAGAAAGATTTTAGTTACTATAAATATTAAAATTCCAGTTATTTAAAAAAATTGAAATACATAACATTTTGCATACATCCATTTCTGATGTGTGACAACACATACAACAAATTTCACTGAAATCAGAGATGATGAGATTGAAAACAATTTTGTTTGTTGATCTGACCTGGCATGATCCATTCAACAATCATCATAATTTCCCAGTCACACCCAAAAACTGGATTATCCATGGTTTCTTATTATTTGCAAGTCCTTTTGCCTTCATTGACACACATTATTAGAAGTATACCATATTACAAACTTGACACGAAGACAAATGAGTACAGTCTACTAAACATTTCTTAGCAATATAAAATCATTAACTTGAAACAATGAAATGGATGTAACTGTATGTATCTCTCTTCTTGCCTCCATGCCTGAAAAGCATAGATAAACTTTTGTTCTACATAGCAACAGTGAGCTTGAATACATGACAGGTGTGGATGAAGCTAGGACTACGAAAGGGAAATGTGTGACATCATTAAACAGATATCTGTGTTGATGATACTGTAGCATGTAGACCTGTTGCTAGGTAATGGCCCATACACACACAACAGGGGGACACATAACATCTGCAGTGATGTCATGCAAAAGAAGAGATGTTGCAAGTGGTGTTCTCTGTGGGTCCACTCTGAGCCTAAATGACTCTATGGACCAAGTTCAGTTCAGGTAGTGAGCTGGTTGGTGAGCAGTCAGTCAGTTAAGACGATTGCTGCAGTTCAGTAGTTGTAAGCCGTTGCAGTTAGGAGCTGGTACCTGAGTCACGGGGATAGTTTGCTGTTGGAACCCGTTGCCAGATAATGACTGGTGAAGACACAGCAGCCGAGGAGACTTAGTATGTGCTATAGTGAACTGCTGAGTGTGTGAATTAGTGATAGCACTTAGTATTTTTATTGCTAGTGGGGGTGGGACTAAGTCTCTTGTACTGCAGCCACTTCTGGCCTATTGTACCAGCCCCAGATGATAGCTGTGGGTGATTGTGGAGCAATTGGTGGAATGAAAATTGGCAGGGGAACCAAAGTACTCAGAGAAAACCTGCCCCAGCACCACTTTGTCCACCACAAATCCCACTTGACCAGTCCCGGGATTCAACCTCGGCCGCCACAGTGGGAAGCCAGCAACTAACCGCTTGAGCTATGCCGCGGCTTTAGCACTATAGTTACTTGTAGTTACAATCTGCAAGGGTTCAATGACTCTGATTACCAATCCAAACCTCATCTACAGTCATACTCAAACATGTGACAATATCAATCCCGAGTGAGACCCAATCCAAGACATAAGGTCTCACCAGGCTAAGGCACACTTAAAAGGATACACGAGCGTCATGGACTTCAATCACACAATCTACCAGCTTCAGTCTTTGTTGCATCTGCTTTAAACCTAAGATAAAACGTTTCACTTCAAATTAAAGTAGGAATTAATAAGTACACATTAACCAATAACAACTGAAGAATTAGCAAGTGTAATTAATTTGTAAGAAGCACAGATATAGTATGTGATGAATATAATATATTTCGTATACTCCAGGTAAACACTGTTACACCAATGACACAAATGTTATTTAGTTTGTATTTATCTATTTAACATTAACGATTTACTTATACTTGCTTTGGTTACTCAGATGCATGGTAAGTAATCACATTAACTTTCCTTAATAATATGCTGAATATTTTAATTTGTTACTTTTGCCTTTTGCACTCACATATCATATTTCAGTGCCAGAATATTAACTCATCTTGTGTTACTGTACATAAAATTCGAACAATCACAAACGATAACCTGTGACTCAAGAGAATGGAATTATTGATATATTTTCCCTACAGTACATCCTGGAGAATTTCTTATAACCATTCAAACAAATAGATTTTGTAGCAACATGATTTGTAATGAAAATATATCAACATTTTTATGGTATGACTAAAAGGTTTCAGGTACTAGAAATCTGCAGTAACACAAACTGCAGTTGCACAACATGGACTACTTTGTTTGTACACGTTTGATTATTTAATGCTGTGTCAACTGAAGTTAAATTAAATAATATGAGTATAAAATGGAGAGAGGTGTTTGAAACAACAGTAGTGGATTGCTGACAGGTATTAATTGCCCTGAAGATACTGAGAAAATCTCAAAATATACTGTTTTCAAAGGAAATTAAAACTTTTCTTGCTACAGATGTATACACAGGTCCCATGACATGCTGTATTGTTGTAACATGCTGTGTTCAATTTGGATAGGTTAACTACACATCCTACATTCGGTAGAAAGGATATATAGGCTGTATTTACTAAGAGTTCAGTTTATTATTATTTTTTCCTTATTTCATTACATCTATAGTAGGCTAAAGCCTCAGATACAGAATTGTGTCAATTTATCTTGCTAATACTATCAAGCAATTGTCAAAAGTTTAACTAGAGGGAACACTACCTTTCCCCATATGACCCGGGAACCATCGCAGCACGTCTTTATTTACTACACGAAAAGTTTCTCGAAATTGGTACAATGAACTGGCGACCCTTTTTGCCATATCACATATGAGTAAATAATCATAAGTCGAAAACCAAACATTAGACGGGTAAATGACCGAAACTCGAAGACCAGCAAATACTGGAAATTATGCACTCATATTTTTCTTGTGTACCAGAGGTGAATGATTTAGGTTATGGCTGAAACAGAATTCGAACAACCACAATGCCTGAATAGTACAATAAATCAAGCCCGTGAAACCCCTATGTTATTAGTATCCAACATTACCGCCATGACACCACGGTCACTACCGGTCGCTACTGCCATCTCTACAATTCTACATTAACTAAATTGAAAATGGACGACAGGACCGAGAGCACAATCGGTAAGAAGGAATGCTAACATAGCAACTATTTTGAGTGCCCCCCAACCAATGTCTTGTTCGCTAGGAGAGCAATAAATACTTTCACAACCAGATCTCTTGTACTGCAGAGGTTTCCCCCCCAAACCTATTTCTATTTTTGAACTGTGTTCAATATCACTAGTCAAGGAGGATGAGGTATAGCAGCGATGGGGGAGGCGAGGAATGCATAAAGGATATTGGTGGGAAAACTGTGACATACATGGAATACTTGTATTTAGGAAAGCTGAAGGTAGGGAAACTCGAAAGAAAATTCTGTTTCCATCAGAGATACATATATTAAACCCCATAATTTCCTCATAGCTTACACTTGAAAGCCATACAGATCACAGTTTTTCGGTTATATTTAAGTATTATAAATCATGTATTGTAAGCAACAATACTCATGTTCCCATTTATTATTATTTTCATTAGAACGATGGAATTCGAGAAGGTGAAATACATTTTTGTCAACAAGATTAAGACTGCATTTAATGATATAAGAAAATCTGATATATACATCTTCACCAGTTCAGTACTGGGCAGAATAATATGGCGGAAATAATAACATATCTTAGAGAAATATATTCAATACTGAAAATTTGGTATCTATTCATAATCCAGTTCAGTACTGAATACGATTATATAGCAAAAATTAATAATATATCTTAAAGAAATGCAATTACTATTGAAAATCTTATGTTCATGTTCACCAATCCAGTACAGGTAGCATTATATGGCAAAAGCAAGAGAAGGAATACACCTATAACAACAAAAGTGAATAACAATGTAACGAAAATGAAATGGTTAAAGAAATTACATAAATAGTCCTATCCACATTCAATCCTGATACTGATTCTGCTTCTCAGAGTTTCACACTGAGGTGGATAATGTGAACTTTGCAAGTCCATTATAAAATAATGCCTTTTCTATCTTACCTACACATAAACAAGACCCACGTGTGTCAGAAAACAATTACCCACACAATTCTCGATTGAAATTTAATTACTTGAATATAATAACAGTAAAGAACCAAGGGCATGTCAATCACAGGAGAGGAATACAAAGGTTATTTGGTAGGATGAATTGAAGGTTCTGTTGGGGATATAAATAGAATATTTAGATGGATGTTGGGAGAAATGGAGCCAAGGGGGGCGGGGTGTGGACAGGATTCTTTTATCATTATTTTTATTGGAGTGGGAGACCATTTGGTACTTTGGCTAGTTGTAGCCTATTGTACCAATCCTAGATAGTAATTGTGGAGCAGTTGCTGGAACGAAGATTGGCAGTGGAATTCGAAGTACTTGGAGGAAATCTGTCCAAGTGCCACACTGTGTCCACCACAAATCCCACATGCCATGGCCCGGGAAGCTAGAGCAGGAGTCGTGTAGTTGAGAATAAGGGGACATACGTTCTGTAAGAACAATGCAGTGAAGATGTGAGGTTTTCACGGCGGTGACTATGAAGAAAGCAGTCTTCTGGGATGTGGCACCATGTAGATGTGATGTTAACCGACGTTTCGGAGGAACGTATCGCCTCCATCTTCAGGGTAGAAGGATAAATAAGAAGCAAGTCTGCTTGCACTGGTTCTCACTGTCTCTTTGCTTGCGGATTTCCTTATTTTTCCTTCTACCCTGAAGATGGAGGAGATACGTTCCTCCGAAACGTCGGTTAACACCACATCTACACGGTTCCACGTCCCAGAAGACTGCTTTCTTCACAATGCAGTGAGCTCGCGGGATTCATGAAATGGTAATTTCTTCGAGCACTGAGCAGCTGTCTGCAGGAAGTCGGCACAATGAACTTGGTTCTGATGTATGCCATCAATGTAAAACTCGGTACCTGTAGGCAATAATGAATTTCATGGTCGTAAATGTACAGGTGGGCGACTATAAGACGCAGTGGAGATTTCTCTGCGGCCAGGGATCATACAACAGTGCGTATGGGTTCAAATTAAAATTTCCGTTAATATAACGTAGCCTGTTAGCACATGTTTGCCGCAAGAAAATTCAGAGTTTCGGTAGAAGGCAAAACGTTTGCGCCAAGAGAAAAAGAGTGCCACACATTTTACAGCGTATGTACAAATGAACCTCCCCCCCTCAAAAACACTAGTGTATATCTTGGTGCCTGCTGCTGGCACGTATGTATATGCGACGGAGAGAAAAGCAGGGTATGTTCTCAAAACGCTGCAGCGAGGTCTGGCTGCAATTGAGACGCAGTGTGAGCGCTGGAACAAAAGAAATGAAATTTTATGTCAAGAGAGTTAGATCGATTGAGTGTCATCTCATATTGAACGGACGAAGAACCCCCTTCGTGAGTCATGTACAACATCTGTATATTTTTCGGTAAGAGGATTAGCTACAGAAATGATCGAAGTCAATGCCTTTACATTTATTAAAGCATGTCCTTCATTGAAAAATGAGCAATTAAGCTCTAAGATGAAATGTACCGTCCACAGAGCATTATTTATGTCTGCAATGTGGCATGCTTGCCTTGGGATTTGCGGCTAATACCCGCGTTTCGAAAGTGCAGCGCTTAGAAATCAAGGTTCTCCGCAACAGCACTAATATCCCAAGGCGTAGAGCGGCCCGCAACCAGAAGCCACAGAAGACCGTGAAAATGCAAATGTTCGGAATACTGGATAAGGCGAAGCCCGACAGAACACGAGGCTTAAATTTTGCGGCGGTGAAGATTATGATCATTCAGGTGACTAAATTTCCGATCTAGCGTGAGCTAATGAAAATATGGCAGAATCTGTTGTTGACTGACAGGAGGCTTATACACATATATATTGCCAAAAAAGCAATGCGTATTATATACATATAGTTGTAAGGTCGTGACTTGAAGTAAGGAGGAGGAAGGACGAAATATAGAAAGTAATTGACTGTGACAAGTGAGCGGGGATAGACCCGTCTTGTCATCAGAAAGGATTCCTATTAAAGGCCAAACAGTGAAGCTACTTCAAGAATAAGTTCTGGACAAGACCGTCTGAATGGGCCCTAAATTAAGAGAAAGTGACTGGCCAACCGACAGTCGTAAATTTACTTTGAAACGAAGCAAGAAGTAAAGAGGAATTTTGTAAAGGTAGAAACGAAGCAGTAGTACTGTATATATGGAAGACGAAGGCGAATATTTGCCATAACCATGGTGGGCATTTGGTAACCCACAATCGTAAAATGATTTTGAAACGAAGCAAGAGGTGAAGAGGAATATTGTAGAAACGAAGCGGTGGGGTATGTGGAAGATGAAGTCGAATGGTTGTCATAACCATGGTGAGCCTTTGTTAAGGCACTGCTGTATGGTTTAGAAGTTACGTGGTTGGGAGACATGACTCTTTGTGAAAGAAACAATGTAAGAAATTTGTCCCTGTAGGAGGTAAGTGGTACTATGTGAGGAAGGCGAAGGTAACAAATTTGTATAGATCCGGTGGTACATAGGTAAGACATTGGCTTAGTATTGGGAACGTACCGGGTTCCAGACCACTGTGTCTTTTGTCAATAGAAATTGAAAAGTGAATAAATAAATACGATTTTTCTGCAGCTATAAACCAAGTCGTACCATATGAGGAGCATCGCAGAAAGTTGTAGTGTAGATGTTCTGGTGGCCTATGGGTAAGGCAACGGCATTGTAAATGTAAGGTTCGTGGTTCGAAAACTGAAGTATTTTTGTAATGAGATTTTTATTGAATTATATAGCGAAATGTAACATAAGAGGAAGATTAAAACTCAAAATTTTCCGTGCAATCGGTGGCGTATTGGTAAAACACCGGCGTAGTGAACAAGAGTTGGAAGGTTCGAAACCAAGTATAGTTTTGTGATTTAGAAAGCAAGTTAATTGATTTTTCTGGAATTGTAGTCGAAGATGTAGCTTAAGAGGAAGATAAAAGAAAACAAATT